TTGTTTTATTGATTGTCAAACAGATGGGTGTTAAACAAGCTTATGTTATCTTTTATCACAGGGCCACTTGCGAGTGACTTCAGTCCAGCCCACCAATTAGTTATTTTTTTAAAAGCAAGGTATTGTGTATTTTCCAGGCACATATTCAATTATATACCACACCAAGTAACTATTACTATAACTGTTGCCTTCAGCTGTTCTTGAAATGCTAATCAAAGATATTTTTTTGACTTTGTATCATAGCTTATCATAGCTTATCTAAACACCTTGAAATCGTCCTCTGTCTCTTTAAGAACCTCCTACCGTTCCCAACACTCCCACTTCAGCACATCTTTACAACAATGCTTTGGGGGGGGGGGGGCTTGGCTGCAGACTGAGCTTCAGGGAGGAGCTTTGTGTAAATAGGCGGTGCTTTGTAACAGCAAGTGTTCAGGCAGCTCCCCATGGCTACAACAGAAGATTCAAGGATTTCTCAAACATGCATGAATGAGTCAAAGCAACACTGCGTGTTTTTGATAAGGGAATGACAATACAATATGATATAAAGCTAAAATAAAAATCTGTTTCGCACAATAACCYCCTCCCTCCTTTTATAAAAGATTTCAGATCTAAAATCATAAAAAATACTAGCTTTTTTTAAAATGTAAAATCTAATTTTGCTGGATGGCTGACCCCTGAACTGTTGTCTTTCAGTAACTGTGGCTCACTGAGATCTTTTGTTGACTAGCCCAGCTGTATYATGTCTCCAGCAGGTAGAGCCCAGATGGAGCTGACACCTTCAAGTCTGACGGTCGTGCGGGGAGATGTGGCCAGGTTCTCCTGCAGTGCCTCCAGCTCTGCTTGGACCATCATGTCGTGGCTGTTGAATGGTAGATCTGTGCTAACGATCTCCAAAGAGCAAGGTGTGATGCCCGTCGTTTTCCCAAACATCACAGCTGAGAACTGTTCCAAATCAAAGACAGACTGCTGGGCCCTGATCCTGAACAGCACACAGAGAAGCAACCAAGGAGACGTGACGTGTGATCTCCAGCAGATTGACTCCAGAACAGCCAAACTATTTGTTGAAGGTGGGTACGTTTATCTGTGTATTTAATTTAACAAGGTTTAAAAATGTAAAGAATTTGCTTGAACCGCTCTGAACTGTTAAAGGTTTGAGCTGTGTCAGATGGTGGGAATTTGTTTCCATTTTCTTTGTAGCCATTCATGATTATTTTTCACCGAGTCTCCATAATGAGATTGCTATAACTGCTGTCTGCTGCAGGTAAGATACTGACTCCTAAAAAATCCTCTATGTAACCCCACATGAAATATTTTTTTACCACTCTTTCAAGATAGTTGAGTGTAAAAATGTACATCTCCAATTATTTAGGGTTTTCATTTTACATTTATACCATAAAACAGTCAGATTTCAATAGCTTTAGTCTAATGGATATCACCTTAAATCAGTGATTCCCAAACTTTTTATCTTCTGACCCACAAAATATCCATGGCAAAAACTTGTGACCCCAAATATTACTGGTCTGAGTATGCGAACTTTGTTAATAACCCTAAAAACACAGGCTTTTTGACAATTTAAACAGTTTGTGCACAAACATAAATACTTTTTTTTTTCTTATTTTGTGTTTTTGTAATAATTATAGGGAAAATATTACATCAGCAATCATTTTATTACCCTTTAAATTGATTTCTGGAGATTATCTAAGGTGCTTTATGACCCATATTTGGGTTCCAAGCCCAACTTAGGGAACCAAAGTGCACTGGTTCTCAAACTTTTCAGCTTTTGACCCACAAAATAACGGTAGCAGAGACCTGTGCCCCCA